CCCGTCTGCTCGACGCTTCTCGTTTACCATGTCTAGCCAGGCAAGGTCTTCCTCATCCATGTCGTATTCTACCTCAGCATCCTGGTCTTCTGGAGGCTTCTCAATGTAGCGGTAATAAGCAGCAGGCAATGGGGGTGCTTCCGGCTGGCTACCTGTATCCACCACGCGGAAGCTGGGCTGTGGGAGGTGGGAGGAAGTGCCAGACGCGTGCTTGGAACAGGACTCCTTCTTCTTGCCTTTAGATGAGGATTTCTTGGACTTGGCAGGGAATTGAGGCTGCTCACTATTTTCCTTGTTACTGTTGCACTCGGTGATATCCTGAGCAGTGAGCTCATCTTCGGTGATGATCTTGAGTGGGTCATAAATGCTGATACGATGGAGGCGGCCGTCGATGTCCACCTCGACAATCCTCTGGGCTTGGGCATATGTCAAGGTCTCTCGTGTGGGTGAGCACTTAAGACTGTATGGGGATGGGGATCTCCGGCCCTCGGCGCTCTGCCGTGACTTTCGACGAGGCTTCCTCATGGCAACTGGAAACCGCAAACACAAGCCTGAAGAGAGAGTCACAAAAGTGTAAACTGGATATTCATTGCTATATGCACTCATTCACCCTTCTATCAAGTGGACACCACGTGATCTGGCTGTTCCCTCCATACAACGGCCCTCTAAAGCACCCAAGAGGCACCTTCTTTTAGTCTTTTCACAAACATCAATTAACAGTGAAATTTTTTTTTTCTGATTACTTTAAAATTGCAAATCCCAGCTAGGCAGTGGTGGCACTGAGGAGGCACAGGCTGGCCTCCTCCAATACTGGAGGAGTTGCAGACCTCCTTTGCATGACCTTTAGGTGGGTGCTGGGGATCAAACTCAGGTCTTCATGATTACACAGTAAGCCCGTCCCCAGCCCTGAAATTCAACACCATGATCTCTTCCTCAAGGAGGCCTACCCAACTAAAAGGAAAGACACAGACGGGTCCTTATAATATGACACACGATGATATCTAGTATTGTAATGATACATGCAATGCTGTGAGACAGTTGATTATGGGAAAAGATGGTGGTAAAGGGTTCCCAAAACAAGATACTCAATTAGAAGGATTGCTTGAGCCCAGGAGCTCAAAGCCAGCAACAAAGCAAGGCCATGTCTTGTTTGTTTGTTTGAGACAGGATTTCTCTACATAACCCTGGCTGTCCTGAAATTCAGGATGTAGGCTACTGCGCCCAGCTAAGATCATGTTTGTGTTTTGTTTTGTTTTGGAAAAGGGAGGCAAAACAATAATTGTGACAATGAGACTACCATCTACTTTCTAACAACAACAAAACACAAGAGTCCCAGCACTCAGGAGGCAGAGGCAGGCGGATCTCTGTGAGTTTGAGGCCAGTCTGGTCTACAGAGTGAGTTCCAGGACAACCAGGGCTATATAGTGAGACCCTGTCTCTAAATAAATAAATATTTAAAATAAAATCATAGGTCTAAGGCCTTTCCCAAGACATCTTACCATAGTTAGAAACCTTCTCTCTAGACCCTGTGAAGAGTAAAGACATCTGAAATGTTTCAAATCATAGTACCCAGGGTACTTCCTGAAGAAGGCAGCACCTAATGCTTAGGGCATTTCCAACCACAAACCTTGCAAAATCTGGGAATGGTTCTAAGAAATCTTTTAAATTTTAAGAAGCCTTTGGAGATTTTCATTGGACTCAAGGACAAGCTGATTGGGGTAGTATCTGAGATGAATTCTCAATGTACTATTACCTCAGAAATCTCTATCCCTTGATATTTACATCCGATCCACCCTTGGGTAGCAGAGAAAGCCTTAGGCTTCCCACAGCATTCTCTGGATGTAGGGAACTATGCCAAGCCCCTAAGGAGTAGTTACAGGCAGTTACCAAGGCCATCATTGGTAGGAACAACAGGAAGACTTTTGAGATACAACAATGACAGTTCAGCATACTTTCACACACTACAATGGCCTTTTCTTTTTACCATTTCTCATGGCTACCTCAGGAGGTTGTGCAGACATTATCATTTCCATGTCAGGCATGAAGAAACAGAAGCTCAGAAAACTGTGACTCAGCCAAAGCTGACTTGACTCCTGATCACCTGTGTTCGAGCTGGGAGGTTATGAACACCAGTGAGACCCTGGGATCTCTACAAAGACGTTCTGCACCAATCTGGGTTTTAATCTTAGTCCCCTGTAACCTGGACAAAGTTTTTAATGTCCCCGTGTCTCCACACTTCATCAATAAATCACGGGCAGTGCTGGGTACATTGGTATTCTTTTAATCCCAGCACTTGGGAGGGAGAAGCAGGCCAGTATCTGTGAACTTTGAGGTCAGCCACATCTACACAGTTTTTCAGACCAGCCACAGCACATAGTGAGACTCTCCCTTAAAAAGTAAATATATAAGGGCTGGGAAGAGAGCTCAGCAGTTAAGAGGACCTAGGTTTGATTTCTAGCACACACATTGTGGATCACAACTCTTTAACTCCAGTTCCAGGGTATTGGTATCTGGACTCCCAGGGAAACCAGAAATATATCAGCCAAAATATGCATACACATAAAAATGAAAACAAAAAATAAATAAATAAAAATAGATAAAAGCAGCCAAGCGTTGGTGGCGCATGCCTTTAAACCCAGCACTCGGGAGGCAGAGGTGGGTGGATCTCTGTGAGTTCGAGGCCAGCCTGGTCTTCAAAGAGTGTTCCAGGACAGTCTCCAAACCTTCAGAGAAACCCTGTATCGAAACCCCCCCTCAAAAAAAAGATAAAAGCATGAACAAAAACATATTTGTTGTTTGAGATAGGGTTTCTATGTGTAGCTCTGGCTGTGTTGGAACTCACTCTGTAGACTGGGCTGGCCTTGAATTCAGAGATCTGCCTGTCTCTGCTTCTACAGTGCTGGGATTAAAGTGTTTGCCACCACTGTCTAGGCAAATGTTTTCTTAAGAACGATCAATAAATTATCGCTGACAACCATAGTGATAAGGCCTTTAAATTCCAAGGTGTGACTTAAACTAAGCTGTCTGAGGAGCAATATGTGGCAGGTATACAAAACCATTTGGAACCAAAGGAAAACAGAACAATGACAGCAACTCTGTTCAGGTTCCCGAAGCCCTGGGGCCACTAGATCATTTACAAATGTCAAGGGAGCACAGGGCATTGGTGGTGCACGCCTTCAACCCCAGCACTCGGGAGGCAGAGGCAGGAGGATCTCAGTGAGTTTGAGGCCAGCCTGGTCTACAGAGTGAGTTCCAGGACAGCCTCCAAAGCTACACAGAGAAATCCTGTCTCTGAAGGGGGGGGGGGTCAAGGTCTCCGAAGCAGCCCCAGCCCTGAACAAACACGACGTATTCCCCAACCCTCCAAAGGCAGGGAGCCTCCGGGGAGGGAACAGGTACTTCAGTATCAATTTTGAAGAGTCTACAGTGCCCCTCTCTACCCATCTGCAGCCTCAGAAATCGTCTCTCAACCCGCCCCCAAGTTCCAGTCCCGACCCCCCCACACACACTCGGGGCTCCCGCTGTCACCAGGAGCAAACAGCGAGGCAGGGCTGCGGCTGAGGAAAGCCAAGAGTTTCGCCTACAAGGAGCTAACATCCAGACCGCGTTATTTTTGGCGGGAGTTTCCTCACGTCCGCAAGTCTTTTCCTACACACGTCCCTGGTACCCCCAACACCCCGTCGAGCCACGTCCTCCGCTGCCCGAGCCCCGACTCGACTCGCCCACCTCACCCTGACCCCCCGAACCAGGGGTTTCAACAATTGGACCGAACCCGCCCTGCACGCCACACGGGAGGCTCAGGAGGCCGGGTGAGACCCCGGACAAGCTCCCCGCCCCTTCAGAGGGGCGCCCCTTCGGCGGGAGTCTTCAGGGCCCCGACCCCCGGAGGGGAGAGGGAGAACATCTCCCCGGACACCTCAGGGGAAGCGCACCACAGGCTGACGCCGAGTCCGACCCTCGCAGGGAAGGCGAGCGCCAGCCGACGAGGGGGCGGGGGCAGAGATGCGAGCACTCATTGGCCGCCCGACCTGCCCGTCAAGGGGGAACCCGGGCGCCGAGAGCGGCCCCCGAAAGGCGGAACTCTCGCCCGGCCCGGCCAATAGGAGAGCACGGGGAGGGCGGGGCTTAGCCGCCCGGCTGCCAGGACCGGGGAAGAAACAAGATGGCGGGAGAG